CTTGGGATACATTCCCAGAAGTGTCTGTAGGCTTTTGGTGCGAGTTGAGGACGGCGGGGAGCAGGAAGGCTTTTGGGAGCCGGTGAAGTTTGAGTCTGGCTTTGGGGGGATCTCGGACTCACAAAGAAAGGAGAAGGTTGACACAGGTGGACCCCTCCTGCCCTGTGGGGGTGGCACTGTTTTGCCCTCCCAGTGGCAATGTGGGAATCCTCCCAACACCACCTGGTCCATGTCTGCCTGCCACAGTTTGTGGTGTTCAACTGGGGGCACTCTCACATGCCCTTTGGTTGTGTTAACTCCTTGCAGATAGAAGAAGAAGCCGCCCGGTGGTGTACCCCACTGCCTGGGTCTCACGAAAGGCCACGCTTCTGTCCAGTCAGTCCCTTCGATCTAATGTAGGGGTCTCACATCTGCACAATGACAAACTCATGAACAACCTGGCTGGCTCCTGTGGCCACATGCGGGCACCCCTTGATTGCCTCCTCCTTGGGAAGGAGGCAGATAGGTAAAGAGGACTGTTCCCGGCAGTTACTCCGATTTCTCCTGGGAGTGTTGGAGGGGGCTTTCCAAGGAGTCTTGGCATTGGGAAGGGAGGGGTGGCTGTGCCAGTCAATGCAGACCTGGGGTGATGGTGGCGGAGATGCCGTGGACCCTGGCCCGCCAGCTTCGTGACCACTGTCTCCTGATGTTTCCCGGCTGGGTGCTCCATGTGACGCCCTCCTGGGGGAGGTGATCCTTGCAGAGCCTGCTGTGGAAAATGATCTTGTTGTGTTGCCAGATGCCCCAGTGTCCATCTGGAGCGCCGTTATTCCCCCGACGCCTTTTCCAACCCCCTGGGGATTTTTGTGCACTAGGAAAGGAGAGGAGGCAGCTCTGGGTTCCTGATGCACAGGTCTGTGGTGGCCTCGTGTCCCTTGACCCACGGCAGGCCGTCGAGTGTGTCTGGTGTGGCCGTCGAGTGTGTCGAGTGTGGCTGGTGAGGCTGGGCTGGGGTGGAGAGTGGGTGATGACACCAGCAGGAAGGGCTCACCTTGCAGCCCGGAGGGTTCATCTTTCTGGTGGTTCCCTGTTAATGTCCTGGGGCTGCCGCAACAAATTTCCAGAAAACGGGGTGGCTTAATAACACCAATTTATTCCCTCGGGGTTCCTGAGGCCAGAAGTCTGAAATCAAGTTGTCTGCACGTCTCTTCTGAAGGCGCTGAGGGAGGAACCTTCCTGCTCTTACAACTTCCAGGTGTTCCTTGGCTTGGGGGCAGTGTCTCTCCAGTCTTTGCCTATCACGAGGCCTTGTCTGTGACTATGTCTTAAATCTTCCTCTGTCTTTCTAAGGGCGCCTAGTGTTGGATTTAGAGCCCATCTTAGATCCAGGATAATCTCATCTCGGGATTCTTGACTGAATCACATCGGCAAAGACTTTTTCTCCAAATAAGGTCACGTTTGCAGGTTCTGGGAGTCAGGACAGGAGCACATCATTTTTTTGTGTGTGAGTTGGAGTCTCACTCTGTCACCCAGACTGGAGTGCAGTGGCCGCTCCCGGCCACCGCAGCCTCAACCTGCTGGGCTCCGGCGATCCTTCCGCCTCAGCCTTCCGAGTAGCTGGAACTACAGGCGCGCGCTACCACGCCCGGCTAATTTTTGATTTATTGTAGAGATGAGGTCTCGCCAAGTTGCCCAGGCGGGTCTCGAACCCGCAAGCTCAGGCAATCCACTCACCTCGGCCTCCCAAAGAGCTGGCATTATAGGCTGAGCCACCGAGCCCGACCTGGGGCATATCATTTTAAGGGCTAGTGTGCAACCTTCTACAGAACTTTGGAGGGAAGTTTGGCTTCTCAGGCTGAAATGGACTGAAATCTGGTGCTTTCCTGCTCCTGAGGCCTATTCTTTGAGGACACACTCGGGGTTCCATGCATATGGTTAAAAACCTGCGATCCAGCCTGCAGTAAGTTTTCTAGAAGCCCCTGAGCCAGTGAAGGGGTTTTGTGATGAAGTAGAGACTTTCTGGCTCTGTTCCCAGGGAGCCCAAACCCACCCGCTGCAGCCAATCTCAATGGCCATGATATGACCAGGATGGTGTGTGGGTGGTGGCTTGGACTGTAGGGGACAGGGGAGACTCTGGGAGGAGGCTGGTGTGGGCCAGGCTTTGGAGGGATGGTATGTGCCAGGGCGTGCAACCCTTTATTTAGGTGTCACCTTCTGGACATTCTGGCTGGGATATGGTTTCCTTGGGACAGGTGGATGATCCTGGAACAGAGCCAGAAACAGCCTCCCCTGTTTTTCTAGGACACTGTGCGGATCTCATGGTTGTGATGGCAACAACTGCCATGTCGTTCTAACGGTGCCATGGCTCCTGCAGTGGGAACAGCCCCTGCTGTCTTGGAGCCTAGGACTGGTGGGGATGGGGGTAGGGCTGGAGAGCAAACACTGGAAAGACAATGGAAAGCACAGAGGTAAGGGGTGGTGGAGAGTAGTGACACGGGCCATGAAAAGACACAAAGTGTGGAAAGAGAGGAGAAGGTGGTGGTGGGTGGGGGGAGGGCATGGGTGTACATTTTTGTAAATGGTCGAAGGAGTGAGGGGTGAGCCACGCCAAGCACTGGAGGAAGGCAGAGTGGCCCAGGGGCAAGGGCCAGCTTCAGTTCTGGAATGATCTGTGTGTGCTTGTGGGTCTGACTCAAACCTATCACTGCATTCGGACTGTAGACTCCACTGTGAGCTCCAAGTAGGGAGGGCTTTGCCTTGGTGCAGGGTCTTAAACCATGAATCAGCCACTGGGGCTGGCGCTTCCAAATGGGCTCCCCAAGGCGGGGGCTTACTGGGACTCCCAGGGAGGGCTTCTTACTCTGCTGGGCAAACCTGGGAAAAGGCCTTCACCTGTCTGGCTTCTGTTCTCCAACTTAGCCACAGGGAACAGTGCCAAGAGAGATACCTGGAAGTAGACCGCTCGTCTAGAGAGCCTGCAGGACAGAGGTGCACCGTTTGGGGACAGTTTGACAGAGCTCTGGAGGCAGGAGTAGACCAGATGACCAGGGGAGGCCCCTGGAACCATTCAAGGACACAGTTCTGGGCTCCGAGGTTTGCATTTTCTGGCCAGTGGAAGTGGGTACTTAACCTACCTTAGGGCCCCTTTCAGAGTCAGAAAGCGAAGTTTGCATCAGAGTGTATCAAAGTTGACATCCCCAGTGAGGGGCAAAGATGCCCCCAGACCTGGCATGCCCCGGACTCCTGGCTCAAGCTCCTGCTGCCCTGTGGACACGTGATCAGTCAGAGGTCACTGGCCGGACCCACAGGTGAATGAAGCCTCAGATGTGATTTTATTTGGCCATACAGTGTTTTAAAAAGGGTTTGCTTTGCTTTGTGCTAGCATTTAAAAATTGGGAGACATACCAATTGGGATTTCTAGACTATCTTGGGAAGTCAGGAGCTGTAGCCCTGTTGGGTCCACATTCCTGCAGGGCAGTGATGGAGCTGAGTCCAGATGCCTCCGAGATAGGACATGGGCCGGCTTCCACACGACTTCCTACTCAGCCACTCTGCAGACATTTATGGTCCCTGCCTGCCTGACTTCTAGGAATGGTTTGAGCTTAGTGACCCAGGGTTTTGTTCTTTTATGTGTCCACCAAGAATGAAGGGTTCCCAGAGCTTAGAGAGGGGTGCTCCCAGGAGTGCCATGCCTCGGAAGCCGGTATTGTTAATGGGGCTGGGTCTCAGGGGCTTGGGCCTCCTCTGGCCACCCACCCACTCAGCCACCCCCCGCCCCAGGGACCACCTTCTGGTCCCTAAAGGTTAACACTGACCTCTGTGAAGAAATGAGAGCTGTGTTGCCTGTGGAGGGAAGGAGATTAGGAAGAGGGCACTGAATATGGTCCTGGAGAGGTGGTGGTGTTGAGACTGGGGACAGGCAAGGAGGTGGTGGGGTCCCTTGAGATCCCGGGCTCTGGGGGCTGGGGGACAGGGAACGGTGGGGGAGGCACAGTAGGTCGCCGAGGGCTGTGCCGCGGCCCGGCTGGGGAAAGAGCTGGTGAATGCTCCTGCCACGTGGGCCCCTTACCGCCCTGGTCCTTATAGCCGGGAGCAGCTGGTTCTCATTTGGAGTGTGGTTGCAGGGGCTGTGGGGAGGGCAGTTTCCCAGGCTCCATCCCCACTGCCTCTGAGGGAGCAGGCCCCGGTGGAGAGGGCAGGATGGCTGGGTGGAAAGCCTGGGCAGCAGGGTGGGAGTCGGGTGGTGGGTGTCCCTGCACGGCTGGTAGTATCGTATAGAAGATTGCAGGAGAGGGTGAGGACTGAGGAAGTCGGTTCTTGTGGCCTGAGCCAGGGTGCTGGACAACCAAATGGTTAGAACCTTGGCCTTTGGCAGCAGACCGATGTGTAGTCTGGTTCTGCATATTGTTTTCTGTGCTTAAGCATCTTGTGTCTCAGTTTCCCCATCTGTACCAGAGGATAATAATATTCGTTACTCCACAGGCTTATGTGGGAAGTAAACGTGACAGGGCACAGTAGGCCCAGGGCCTTGCCTCTAGAAAAAGTTCCAGTGCCAGCAGTTGGTGTCATTATTTTGACCAAACGTTGTTCCTGTCATAATGATGATTGGCCCTGGTTGTGGTCAGTAATACTGGGGATGCGTCTTCCTCCACCCCGTAGCTGTGGGGACCAAGTGGTGTGTGCCTTGGCTGGAGGTGAGGAGGGATAAAGAAAGCCACCACAAGAAGGAAACCAAAGGCTCCCCTTAAGCCAGAACATTCTCACGTAGACGCAGCTGGAGGGGGAGGCTGTGTGGTCTTGGCCACGGCCGTGGCAAGACAGGAGGGGCCGCACCTTCCACACTCCTGCCTGTATCTCTTTCCCCATGTCTCTCTGTGAACTCATGACTGTCGGTGGCTCTGCGGGTCTCCTAGAACGGAGCTGTCCCTTTCCTTGTTGGGAGGCAGAGGATGGGAGAAGTCCCCAGGTGTGTTCTCCAGCTGTGCACTCACCCACCATGTCCCCCTTGCTTTATTTTTCAGCCTTGAAGAGATCTTTTGAGGTCGAGGAGGTCGAGACACCCAACTCCACCCCACCCCGGAGGGTCCAGACACCGTTGCTCCGAGCCACTGTCGCCAGCTCCACCCAGAAATTCCAGGACCTGGGCGTGAAGAACTCAGAACCCCTTGCCCGCCATGTAGACTCCTTAAGCCAGCGCTCCCCCAAGGCTTCCCTGCGGAGGGTGGAGCTCTCGGGGCCCAAGGTGGCCGAGCCTGTGTCACGACGCACCGAGCTGTCCATCGACATCTCGTCCAAGCAGGTGGAGAACGCCGGGGCCGCCGGGCCATCCCGGTTTGGGCTCAAGAGGGCCGAAGTGCTGGGCCACAAGACACCAGAGCCAGCGCCTCGGAGGACGGAGATCACCATCGTCAAGCCCCAGGAGTCAGCCCACCGGAGGATGGAGCCCCCCGTCTCCAAGATTCCCGAGGTGCCCACCGCCCCTGCCGCTGACACAGCCCCCAAGAGGGTGGAGATCCAGGTGCCCAAGCCAGCCGAGGCACCTGCTGCCCCCAGCCCAGCCCAGCCCCTGGAGAATTCAGAGCCCACCCCCCTGTCTCAGCTGCAGAGCAGGCTGGAGACCAAGCCCCAGCCTGCCTCGGCCGAGGCCCCGCCCCGGAGCCAGGAGGGTGAGTCCCAGGGTGCTGGGTCTTGGAGGTTGTGGTGATGGGTGATGGGGACTGTCTTTGCCGGGAGTCTCAGAGCAAGAAGCCAGATGTGGGTTGGGGGTGCCTCTGTAGAGACTGAGAGACCTGAATACGTGGTTCGGGGAGCCGCAGGCTGAGGGAGGTGACCGTGGCTCTCTCTCTGCCCACTGGGGACACATCAAGATGCCACACGTGGGTCGGCATCTCTGGGTTGCAAGGAGCTTCCTTTAATGGTCAGCGTGGGCCATGGTGGGACCTCTGTGGTGTGTCCCCAGAGGGACTGGCAGCCTTGGAGAAGGAAGAGCTTGCAGGAAGAGGGTGGGCTCATGTGGAGTGTGGGACAGGGTGGGGTGAGACACATCCTGGTGCCTCCTGCTTGAGGGATTGTGGCTGCCTGGAAGTGTCCAGCAGAGGCCAAAGGTCTCAGGGCAGGGAGGAAGGAACCCATGCCCTTCGGAGGTTTGCACCAGAGGGTCTTTCTCCTTCTTGTGCTAATGATCTGTGGCTGGTCATCCTCCTCCTTCTCAGGGAGGGATAGTTGTGGCCAGAGGCAAGGAGGCAAGGAGATGTGATGAGGCCTTGGCTTCTTTCAGCTAATTCTCAGGGCTGCTGGGGAGGGATGCCTCCACCAGGGGCCCATGACACCTGCGCACAGTTTTGTTTGGGAGCATGTACCTGGCAAGAGGTGGGGGAAGCACGGGAGTCTGGCAATGTCCTCGGAGGGCTCAAGCCCAGAGTTGCACTCACGTGGAGAGCTTACAGGGGAGTTGGTGCCCTTCGTGATGGGACACAGGGCCTGCTGGGGAACTATGGGCTCTGGGACACTGTGGTCCTTCTCCATGCCCCACGCTCCCCGTAGGGATCTCTGCACCACGGGGCTGTGTAAGGTGCTGGCTGGGTTAGAAGTTCCTTGAGAGCAGGGTCTAGTTCTGGGCGCGGGACTCAGGACTCAGTAAATAAATGTTCAATAAGTGTCTTTGGGTTGGACATAACAGAACCTTCTGGGCTTTGGGTTTACCTTTTTCTTCTTCTTCTGAATTGTGGTGAAATATGCATACCATAAAGTTTACCATTTTAGCCACTTTTAAGTGTGCAGTTCGGTGCCATAGGCACATTCACATTGTTGTACAGTCATCACCACCATCCACATGCGGAATTTTCTCATCTTTCCCAGAACTGAGAGTCTGTCCTCACTGAACTCTCACTCTCCATTCCCCTCCCCTAGCCCCTGGCAAACTCCATCCTACTTCCTGTCTGTATGGATTTGACTACTCTAGGTACGCGTATGAGTGGAAAAATGCAATAATCACCCATTTTGTGTCTGGCTTACTTTCGCTCAGCATGATGTCCTCAAGGTTTGTGCACACTGTGGCATGTGTCAGAATGTCCTCCTTTTTTAGGGCTGAATAATATTCCTTTGCATGGGTGGACCACATTTTGTGTATCCGTTCATCATGGAGGGATGCTTGGATGGCTTTTTTCTGGCTGTTGGGAGTAGTGCTGCTCTGGACGTGGGTGGACATATTTCTCTTTAAGTCCCTGCTGTCGATCGTTTTTGATTTTCCTTTGTGCGTGTGAATTTTCTAGTGGTTAGTAGACTTGGGGGCGAGGAGGGCTTGGGGCCTGGATGGGGTGTGAGTGTGGATGAGACCAGCGCCCCTCACACTTTCACGGGCATGTGGAGCCCACATTTGCCTCGACTGGTCTGGGGGCCTGGGACTCTGCATTTCCCACAGTGCTGGGTATCAGACCACACTCTGAGTAGCCAGGGACCAGCGGTCCTTTGAAGGTCCCTCCAGCCCTGGGTGTGTGTGAGTCTGTGTTCCTGCTCCCATCTCTAAAATTGAGCCCACAGGGTCCCCTGCCCTACCCACCCAGGCTCTGTGACAGTGACTGCCGGGTGACGTGGTGTTGGGACAAAGGCACGGGCGGTCTGCAGAGTGGCCAGGAGGCTGTTTCCTTTCCCCATGGTCTTCTGTTGGCCCAGGACTGTTGTTTGACGTCCCGGATGCACCCCGCCTCCAGCTCCTGGGCGACATGTTCACACTCAGCTGAATCAAACAGGATGTGGCCAGGGAGACAGTCTGCACTGGGCCTTCCAGATCTTAATGATGGCTGGCACTGGATGCACGAAACGTGGTCCTGGGGGACGGGCGGGGAACATCCATGGGGATGCACGAGAATGTCTTGCTCAGGGGGCAGATGCAGCTCAGCCTCCAGTTTATGCCAGAGACTGCCGGGAGCTGGGTGCAGGGGTGAGTCCTGCCGGCACTGCCTTCGAGAGCTCCCAGAGCTGTGGGGAGGATGGGCAGTGAACAGCCACTAGGGAGTGAGGAGTGGAGGCCTGCCTGTCCACTCGGTGTGGAGAGGGTCGATTTCCCCAGGCCAGGAAGGGGAGAGAAAGGCACCCCAAGGGGAGGTAGCTGCTGTCCAGAGCTGTCAGGAGCCTGGGACTTGGTGGGGCTGCTGGATCTCTCCACGGAATTGGACATGTGTGCTGGAGCCCGGGTGTGAGAGGAAGTTCTGCCCTCAGTCAGGGGTGGTGGGGGTCCAGCCCCGTGTGGAGGGTTCTGGGGGCCAGAAGTCCTGAGGCCTGCTCAAGTCCTGGTGGAGGGACACACAGGGAGAGACAGGCAGGGCCTTCCCGAGGGGGGTGCTCCTGAAATCCGATCGAGGCTTCTTAGGGGCCCCAAGGTCTGAGCTCCCCACAGCCCCTCCTCTGAGGCCTGCTCTGATTCTGTGTCCTCCCCTTTTCTGGTCACAGCCACTGGGCCCAGGTCTGGCCTCCCCCCTCACTTCCGCCTACCTTTCCTGCAGACGCGGCACGCCCATTCCTTTCCGCCCTTCCGTCGGGGGCTGGGTTGGGAGCCCCCGAACTCCCACATGCACTTTCTGTGGTCACCCTGCCCCCGGCACCTGTGGTCCAGCTGGCATTGCAGGGGTAAGGAGGAGGCAGGGAGGGAGCTCCTGCCCTCTGAGCAGATGCCCAGTTCCTGGGTTTCTGCCTCCAGGAAGGTGACTGGACCGTGGCTCGCTCCACCCCAGGGCTGTGGGCGCAGGCTGGGGTCTCCTGGGGCCTCAGATGAGTTGCTCCCAGACTGACCTCCCATTCTGAGCCTTCACTGCTCACTCACTCCAGGGCCCTCCATGGCTGACTCACTGTCTTGCTGAGTTCACATCTCTGTGATCCTAGCTCCTCCTGCTCTGGTCTTCTCCAGGTCTCCCACATCTTCCCTCACGACCTCTTTTCCCTGACCTCCTGAACCCTGACCCCTGCCTCTCTTTCCATCACTGTTCTGTTGAACTCCTATGCATCCCTCAAAGCCCAGTCCAGGCCAAGCATGGTAGTCTACATCTATAATCACAGCACTTTGAGAGGCCAAGGCGAAAGGATGACTTGAGGCCAGGAGTTTAAAACCAGTGAGAGCAACATAACAAGACCCTGTCTCTATAATAAACAAATAGACAAAAATCTAGCCAGGCATGGTGGTGCTTGCCTGTAGTCTTAGCTACTTGGGAGGCTGAAGCAATTGAAGACCACAGTGAGCTATGATTGTACCACTGCACTCCAGCCTGGGTGACAGAGTAAGACCCGGTCTCAAAACAAAACAAACAAAAACCCAGTCCATATACCATATATGATTTGTGCATAAATCTTCTTTCCTTTGGTAAGCTTTTTTAAATTGTAAAAATAGTTTTCCAAATGACAAAAAATAATACAGTGCCCTTTCTTTAAAATGCAGACAATATAGAAGTTAGAAAGAAACTGAAATTCACCTGTAAGCCAAGCTATCCACTCTCCATGTTTTGCTGTGTAGTCTTCAGAATTCTTTCCATGCTCCCATTAGGTTCTAGATTCCTTGAGGGTGGGGCTATTTTGGTTTATAAAAAGAATTCCATAAGGGGGCTGGGCATGGTGGCCCATACCTATAATCCCAGCACTTTGGGAGACCGAAGCGGATTGCCTGAGCCCAGGAGTTTGAGACCAACCTGGGCAATATAACAAGACCTCGTCTCTACAAAAAAAATTTTAAGACTGGCTGGGTGTGGTGTTGCATGCCTGTAGTCTCAGCTACTCGGGAGGCTGAGGCAGAAGGATCACCTGAGCCCAGGAGGTCAAGGCTGTAGTGAGCCATGATGTGCCATTGCACTCCAGCCTGGGCATCAGAGGGAGACCCGGACTCAAAAAAAAAAAAAAAAAATCCCATTAGGCACCAAGTAAGTAACTTGAACGTAGTAAGTGGTTAGTGAAAGCATGCTGGGGGAGTGACCTACTGGTATTCATATTAGGACAACTTTTTTTGTGATTCTTGCAGGCAGATGCAGGGACTGTCCCCCCCAACCCTCCCACCCTCAGAGACTAAGCAAACACTTCCCGTTCAACTTTACCCCTGGGGTACCTGATCTCTCCTGAACCTCAGATCGGTTGTCACCTGAAGTGTTTGGGCGGGATGGACGCTGGAGCTCACACTGAAGGCTCACTGGTGGGGTGTTCACTTCAGTGAGGGGTTCCTGCAAGGGGTCAGCATTGAGGAGGGAGAGTGCAGACCTAGATGGCAGAAGGGGAAGGAGAGGGAGGAAGGGGCTGCGGAGGGCAGAGACCACCCTGCCTGCTTCTCACACCCAGGGCCTAGTGAGGGCTGAGCTCTGCACCAGTGCACCTCGGTTTTTGAGGCTCTGGCCCCTGGACCTGGCACCCTCCTTGCCCTACAGGGCCATCCCTGGGCTTCCCAGGTTCCCGCTGGGGACAGCCTTGCCTGCTCTCCCGGGTCCCTGCTTGTCCCTTGCTCCCTGTATGGGTGCCTCTGGGTGGGGCTGGCTGCGGGACCCAGGACCGAGCCTGCCAGGGCAAGCTGCAGGCTCAGTCTCCCTCCCACACCACCCTGGAGTCCACACCCCTCTGGCTCCACGGAGACACCAGCCAAGTTTCCCAGAGGCTGCCTTATAAGGCTGGCACTCCTGCTCCCTCCTGGGTCTGGTAC